AGCCTCAGCGCGCGCCTGATTCACCTCCACATCGAAGGCAGCCTTTTGCAAGGCGTAGCCCCTCTGGTAATTGGCGATCGCCGCATCGGCTTGGCAACGAACTTCCATGCGCTCCTTTTCGCACTCTGCCTCCTGCATGCAAATTATGGAATCGTTTTTTTACATTAATGCGTTATGTTTGCTACGGCTACAAAGAACCCGGTAAAAAGGTCAAAAGATCCTGCAAACATTGCGTCAGAAGTAATGCATTGGAGGCTGGCGTGTTCAGAATTAGCAGTGGCTTTGACCACAATTACGAAATTCAAGCGCAAACGGCCGTTAAATAGTGGGTGATGGAATGCTGTTTGATGAGGATTGAAGCAGCAATTTTCGACTGTTTGAAGTACAACGAAGCTGTGCACCCACTAGGCGCTTCGCATCTTGGATAAACAGCGATACAGCCACATACCACTAAACCTCTTCCGTTTAATGACTTTTGGGGACTTAGATGAAATGGCTACGCGAAATTGCATTTACTAATGTTCAATCTCTTAGGGCATAGATAAGATTAGAGTAACAAGAAAGTTAGGATACAATTTTCGTTTACTTACAGGTACAATTTCTTGCACAGAAAGGACATTAATAGAAATATTAGCGGTTTGAATTCGGGCAGTAAAGCCCTCAAAGAAAATAGGCTGAAATGCGTATAAGTAATAACTTTGATGGGACCTAATAATTGAATTAGCAATACTTACAAGAAAGGTTATTTCTAAATACCTAGAAATTATGGCATTTTAAGACCGCGGAAAGTGGGGGTAATTTAAGGAAAATTGAAAACACTGCAAAAGTGAACAGTAAGAATAAGGTGATAGGGTTTAAATCCAAAGGTTAAGCAATTGCGTCTTTACTGTCTAGAAAACGTACACTGCTTAATAAAGCATATGCAAATCCCTACATTAATCGGGCATTGTTGAATAGGTAGTAATGAGGTTAGCTTAAGAAACCATTAGAGCGCGAACCAGTTTGGGTGAATACCAAGTGCCGATTTCAGCAAAATAAAAAAAATTGTGCACTAGGCAACCACTAATCGCAAAAACACATCCTATAACCTCACCACTGAGAAAAATAACACCTTCGACTATTTTGCCAGGTGTATACGAGTGATTGAATGGCTTTCAATGAAAACCGATTTCTCCAATTTTTCGAGACCCAATATTGTCTTGCGACTAATACTTGTTGTATTGATACACTGGCTGTATTGCCATATCGAGCAAAAAGTCCACATGCACTCCATATACGTGGACTGATTCGATTTAGAGGATTACCTCATTCGTGGTCAAGAACCACAACATCTAGCCTAGTTAGAGTGGATGACTAAACGGGTTCAAAGAAACAACGACAACGTTTGTCAATTTCTCGCCTACAGCAGTTCCGCAAGGCATTCGGTCCAAAAATGGCGTGAACACACTTTACTAACAAATTCTATAACAATGCCCCCAACTTTGCCCCATAAAGAATCGAGTACTTACGACGATTCCAGCGTCGCGCTCTGCCTCAGCAACGCCTATGTTAGCGTCACGTTTAACCTTTGCCACCTGTGGCCTACCGAGGGAGTTTAGATAATCAACGTCGTCGAAAACATCCTTTATGGTAAAACTGAGAATTTCAATCCCCATTCTACCGACGTCCGGAGCGGCGACTTCTCTAACGAGAGACGCGAACTGATCTCGGTCCTAAAACAAATGCAAAATATCCACGTGCTACAGGATGTTGCTCCTAGAGGTGGTCTAAGCGAATGCCACTAGAAAAAAAGATTGCAAAACTTTTATGCGGATCTTAATGGAACCTAGGAAACACCGAAGCAAATTCTTGTGGCCCACACACCCCTTAAAGGCAAACCTGACAAACTACCATTCTGAGAGAAATGAATTGAACTTCACTTAGTCACAATACAAATAATGTCCCTTAAAGATACAATTCCGCAACAAACGATAATTAAATTTACTTTGTAAATGGCCTCAACAGTTAAAGTCCCGAGAATAGCTCGAAGATGACCTTCCAGTGTTTGGAGGATCGTGTTTTCAATTCTGGAAGCGTCTAGATCCAAAAACTGTTCACAAGCCAAGGACAAAATATTCTCATCAGCTAAAACTTTGACTTGTGCAACGCCTAAATTGAATCAATGCCATTAAAAAAACATACCGGTCACAGTCAATGGAACCCCCTCTATAGTTTCTACGTGTTTACAAGTTGGATTGAGCGTCATCACTTCAAGGGATATCCTGTAACATGATACAATGTCAATAAGTGAGCAGGAACTTACGTTTGGACATTGCTCAGGCAGCACCAGCCCCAGCCCCATCCACCGATTACGGTATGAACGTGACGACCACCCAAGCAGCCACCTACGAAAAACAACCAAGTAGCCATAATAAACAAATCGGTTGAACTTGATGTGTCCAATTTGGCAGGACCTAGACTATCCGACACTTACTCTTTCGACAAAAACGTTGCGTAGCGAAGACCACAAACAAAGGGCAATATTTTGGAGGATGAATGAACTGCAAAATCAGTTTTACCAGAATGTTTTAGGCATTAGAACGCAAGTTTTAAGAAGTACACTTCGAATGCATTAAAAAACCTATACATCTTTTGTACCAATCAACTATGTAAAACTTGTAAAGGGGGGCACGTCAACGAACTAGATTCCCATCTTACAGGATTACATTTACTACTGGTTTTCAAATTTCATTTCCATTAAAAAATACTGGACCATTCACCTGAAATCACCAGCGCCTTGTTTGGTCCAACAGTGTACACCGCCCCCATAAATTTAGGCTGAAACGGCAACCAATCCTAGGATAAAAGTCAAGAGATAGTCAACCTTCACAAAAGTATTATTATTATGACTATCTTTACTGCTAACCATGTCATAAATAACCCCATTTTGAATTTAGTTTACAAACCTTAGCACGTCTAAAGCAATCATCACTTGCCAATACATGAATCTGGTGATAAACTCTACTGCTAAATGCAAATTTTGACGTTACCATTCAAGCCATAAACTCAGAAACAAATTCCAAGTTGTTAATTCACTTATGATTTTATCCCTTCTTTGAGTTTGTTCGCGTAAACCTATGTGATTCCTTTTAGTTTCGGTAGTTGAAATCGGAATTTATTGAACGTGCTTGACTGCTGATCCTACTTTTAAAGTCATAGCTTCGGGTATCATTCTAACGTTTGAGACTAAGATCAGTTGACTAGCTATACTAAACAATAAACAGACTTGTCTACAGAATAAGAGTTATTTGTACATATATTACAGAACGCCATTTATTCGAGTTTTGGTCCAATAATTGCAGGGAAGTTCAAGTACTTCGATAAAAATAGAAATGGATGAATGCCGATCGTGAACGTCAATTACAAGAGTTGGTGTTTAGTGAATACCAAAAATTTAAAAGCTGAGGTATTTAAATTGCTATTTTACAAAGTGTTAAGCAAAATATCTTGATGGTCTAATGGGCACTAAAATCTGACCGACTTAAATTATGTTCTGAAACATTGTTTACTTGGTACTTGAAAGAACTCAGATTTGTCAATTACAACTCCATGAAGAAGATATTATACGTTGGTAATTCAATCTGAACCATAATCGTCGTGCTTGTTTAACCCCATCTTTTTTCCCAATGTCCTTATATTTTAGCTTGGTTTGGCTGACCCTATATCCGTTGTAATATATACACGAACCCAACCACAGTTTACTTGTGCCATCTAATTATGGATTGTCTTCGTCGTTTCTGGCTTCCTTATACTGCCCGAGCATTTAAGCAACTTCACTGTAGACCATCACCTAGGCCTATAAGTCGAGTAATCCTGAGATGATAAGTTCTCTCAACCTGGTGCCATTAAATTAAATTTAAGGTAATGTATTCATTTTTGGTTCTATTCGTTTGCGAATGGTAACAAAAATAGTGTTAGATTATTTTGCCTTTATTGTGGTTTCGATGTGAGTCAGCAATTGTGCAGTGGAAATGTACAAGATTGGAAAGACACTGAAATGGTTAAATAAACCTTACATTACACAAAAAAGTAATGAAAGGAAAAGACTGGGGTTTCAAATTATTGATTGGGTTTAGTTAAAGATGGATAAAGTGCAAATATTAGATTATTCACAAGCCAAGCAAACGACGATGGTAAATTGTAACGCGGCTAACGAGCGGAGACTTCAATAGGTAGATAACTGTTATCCCGCCCCCCTCCCCTAAATAGTCACACCATCAGGGTTAGCTACCAGGCATAAGATAAAAGAATAACAGGAAGAACCAGATGTATTCCAGAAAATGAATTTATGCAAAAGGAGGCAAAAAATTAATCAATTTAAAGGTAAGTTAGAGGGTTACTGATGTTTGGCTATGTTAGTAAGCATTATCAGGATTTATGAAATTAAATAATGACCAACAGAAATATAGCAATTACAATCCCCAAACATCAGACAACTCGTTCTCAGTAAATTGAGGCACCTTCCGATGACTTGACTCATCTTCATTTCATCTACTGTTGTACTACAGGTTTAAAAATCTGCAAACTTTTGGAAGACAATTGTTATTTGTCTTTAAATATGCAAAGTTTTATGAGATAATTGTAATTTTCATTTTAAAATATGTACAAACACATTTAAAAAATATATACATGATAGTTTTGAAATCAATTCTTAACTTTCTCTGGCTGTAAATATTACGGTTTCGTCACTAACTTTTTTAATTAACAAAGTGTAAAGAAACTTTTACGATGTTATGGCTTTCGTTTGCAAATGTTAGACAAAATGATTAACTTCATGATTTTTATTCCATTTAGGACAGCTCATAATTGTTAGGTAATTGCTGTTGTATTTACGTTGAGGTTTCCAGCTATTATTTAGCACGGAGGTTTGCTGCAGAATAGCATCAAGCACTATTTAAAAAATTTAAAATAGATATACCATCAAATTTCAATCAATAATCATACTGAAAGCTTAGCAGTCACGTAAGCCTTGGGAAGAAGCACAATGAAATTGTTGATTGTCGATCTATTTGTAATTGCACATGTTGCTTTGGAACTCACTATCGCAGCAACTACAAAGAAGAATCCAGACTACATATATTACTCTACTTGGTGGGTAACATCTCGAACCAAATTCGGCTTTCCCTTGCACTTCACATCCTTGCGAATTTATTACTTTGACGAGTGGGACGATTTTAAGCCTCAGTGGTGGAAAGCCTGGTATTTAGTGGAAGGCGCAAATTATGAAGTTCCGAAATATCTGAGAGAGAAAAATTACATACCTACGAATTGGAAGTAAGAACCTCTGCTGACGTCCCAAGTAATTTTTGTTATGCACGAACACTGATACAGCATTTATCTAAACGAGAATAGCTAATTTTGCATGTATGATAAGAGTACTCGCGTGGGCCTGTTGTTACCGTTAAGAGACCTGTGCAATATTCTGGATCACATGTTAATGCATACAAAATGAATATTATCCACTAATGGCTGATGCACCAAACACGGAATTAGTATTTTAGTTAATATATATATTTTGTTCATTGTACCAATGATTTAGCGGTTGACTGATGTCGCACTTACATTTCATCAGTCGTATTCTCTATCAATAAAAACAAGTTGGATAACATAACTAATGCCCAAATACATGTATGTACGGTTAAATTACTTAACTAGATTGCTTTGTTATCGATGAGTACATCATTCAAGATACTGTGGTCGGGAGCTTACAAAACATGGTAGACAAGTTTACCGTAGCAGCAAGTTAATTTTTCCACTAAGAGACCACTGTACCCCGAATTCCAAGTCCATGGGAGATGACTACATGCTGCTCGACTTCACCGAAGATGACTATCGCCAGCCAACGTCAGTTCGTGATCTTGTATCCAATGTTAACT